CCCAAAACTTCAGTGGGCTAGTGATATTAATGACCCTATATAATGATTTTACATATGATATATATGTATGTACATACTTCTAAATGCAAAAACATTCACTAAAAATAATTTAGATGGGAGATAATACAAGTAAACAGAATATGAGGTTTTCATTTCACTTACAACATTTGTCAAAAATACTTTCCACAATGATATATATTTAGATAAACACAAATAAATTTATTCCACTTAAAAATGCAAATTTCCAATGTCTCCAGTATGACAGCCAGACCAACTACAATGTATATATAGAACTATTAAATATCCTTGGCAAATGACTTGGAAATACATTAATATCTACACAACTACTTGATTTCAAAACAAAACTGTACACATTGATTTACATCTTTCCTCAGCCACTTTTTTTTTTAATTATTATGTACAGGGAAAAAGGAGATCTTAAAAAATTGTCTTAGAGACAACGGAAATATTGTAGTTGACTGAAATCTAATATCTATATTGAGTTTAAAAAGCAAAAAAATTGGTACAAGCACATAGACACTATATTTGTGAAAGACATTTTCAACAAGCAGTTGCTGAATTTTCTAAATATCTCATTGGTTGATACGATCTAAGCTGTAGTATTGCATTTGTTCAACAGTACCATATATTATTTGGTATCGATACTTGTCTTTTTAAACAAACCAAGAAATAGAATAAAACATCAGCCTGGCAGTTGGTCAACAAACCAAGATGTCTGATATAATTTACCATGGTAATACATACCAATTAAATAGTAAAAATGTATAGATTCAGAGGGACCAAATATATATGTTATAATAAGGGGTTCCACCAACATTCTGAGTAAGCAGCCATATTTAGAATGGTGTGAAGCTGAGAAGACCAAGTGAACAATTTGTTAGTCTACTCGTAAACCTTAGAGAAGAACGACTTCTCTCGACTCTGTATGGCCTGCCTTGGTGAAACCCCTGGTCACAATACTTCAGAAATGTATTCAAAACTTTGTTGCAAGCAAGTGCAATAATATTTATCCCGTAATCCCTATTTTTCCTGCCAAAAATTTGTAACAACACATTTTTTTTCAAGAATTTACTTTTAAAAAGCATGGGAGAAAAGTAGGCCTAAATTGAGAAAAGAATATATATATAATTAATAATAATAAAAATTCCCCAGTTCTAAATTCTAAGGGTAAGTGACAATACATGGAAGCAACAATGTAAAATAAAAGATACAAATAATGAGGGGGAAGGCACCAACATAGATACAGTTATGAAGCTACGAACCATGGAAATGGAGGTTTCCAGGGTTAAGAAACAACAATAAATTGCAAATAATACATTTCCATTTTTACTCAATATAATTGCATGAAACATGTCTTACTATCCACACGCAAGTGAAATAAATTCTGGTTCACAGAACCTTTTCCAACTATACAATAAAGACATATAAACATTCCAAGTTGCTTCTGTATTTAGTTGTGTAAAAGTCCCTTCACAATCTGCCAGTCAATAAAAAAAGTCTGTAATGTTGATGTTGTAAAGTTTAGAATTAGTTCAGCATGCATGATTCGTACGTTGGAACCATATATTTGATGTTGATAAATGCATCTTCGCCCCCGTGCCTTTCAAAAGCTTCTAGTGTTTCCTGGATTAGATCGCCGATGTTTTCTCTCTTCTGTTGACTGTAGTCAATGCCATCGCCCGAGTTGAGGTTATGGTTCTTGAAGATGTTGAGGATTGGAAGAATCTGTCTGTAGTAGGGCACCAGTGCTTCTCCTACCATGTCGGCTGACACCACTAGATGCTGCAGGACCTTCAACGTTGTGCAGATTACTTTCCTGTTTCTCGTACTGAGTGCATTCTTGATGGGGATGATGAGTTGTGGAATAACTGGCAGAATCTTTGGACCGCCATGCTCCAGCATGTCGTGTACGCCCTGGCGTGCAAAGAACTCGTAAGGGTGAGTCGTCTCGCAAAGCCCATCAAAAAACAATGGTAGATAATGATGATAATCTAGCTTCTCGATTTCTACCTTCCATGCTATCTTATTTCCTTTGGTGTCGTGCTCGAGTGCGATTGGGAAATCACCTCGCTCGTAGAATTTCCTAAACGAAGTTGGTTTGGCTGGTCGCTCTCTGAATGCACCAGCATCCGGTGGTCCAGTCACCTTGACGCCCTTCAGTCTTGATTTTGTCGAAAATCCATCGGCCTGTGCACCTCCTTTCGATGTGTGTTTTGGGTGTGCAGCGACTAGAGACATTTTTGTTGTTTCTGCTTGACGAATGTAGTAGATTTAGCAGAGAAATAAGTCGTTGGTAACCACTCTCAACAGTGATTGTGTTGTTGTGTGAAACCAAGATGGAGAACTATCAGCACTGTTGCTGTCAAAACAATGACGTCACGAGTTCATGGCAACCAGCCTCTGTCGCCACATACTTTATAACGTATTGAATTTTAACTCTATATTACAATGCGAGCTCCATAATCATCTACATGTATGTAATTTATATTTATCCATAACACAAAAATAATATTGTAACAGTTTCATATGGATATTTTAATACACATATAAATATAAACTAAATCGACGTGCGTTCATGGCTAAGGACCCACAGATTATTTCGATTCGAGGGTAGACAATCGTGAAAATGGTTGGTATATCATACTGTACACTTGCAAAATATAATCACAGTATTAATCTATTACAAACATTAAGAAAAGTTGGTGGAAGTTCGTTTCTCTTCTATATACAACTTGGTTGTAACTGCATATTTAGACTGCGCAACTTGTCCCTCACTTTGTAAGCTGTCCTTACCCCGTTGATCGAAGATATTTACAATAAAAACGTCCATCATGGCGGCTGCTTCAGGTGAGACCGAATTCTGCAGGGAGTTATGTTTGTGTTAACGGATTAAAACTAATCAATTGTGTTAATTTTTTGACGAGCCGATCATAACAGAACCTTTACGTTTTTCATTGTCACACAGCCTATGGTGAAGCAGGGCCGCTGAGTCCATGCCGACACTGTGGCCGGACTTTCAACTCAAATAGCTTGGTGAGTGAAGTTGCGTACTTTTGTTTCCCCCCCATGTCTTGTTTACGACATGATAACGTATATGATTTATGCATACAGTTAATCTGTGAGTACTCAATAGAGAAAATGGGCACTTAGAAACCGTATATAGTTTAAATTATAAAATTTAGTAAATAAAAAATAACAAAAGAGTCTAATATAAAGTTTACAAGGGGACTGTGATTTAGTTACATTTAAGTTGTAGTATAAACATACTAAGTAGTTAGATTACACCAGTTTACGTATATTTTGCAGAATGAAACTAATCCTAAAGCTATTTTATAGCTGTTAACATAGCGGGAAAACATTAATAATTTTGGAATGAGTAGTAATAGTGATAACTTTGTTTATATTATGAGCATTTTTATTTTCTCAACACTCCAAAAACTGCTATCCACTGTAAAATACTTTATTTTAGCTGCAATTAATTTTCACGGAAAAGACTATCTGGGTGTTTTGTATGGAGTTTATAATATTTAATTTTTTAATAATAATATAAGGAAATTACTATAATTAAACAATTTTAGAGAAAACAAATACAAACAAATGTATGTTTTTCCCAAAAGCGATACATCTCGTATAGGAACATACATAAATCAAAAATTGCATTTATTGTATGCTGAATCATAGAATCCCAAAAATAGGGTCTGTGGCTAAAATCATTCAAGTACAACTTATTCCGACCGTAAATATACCTGTGTCATAAACATAAGTGCATGCGATACTAATAGAACAAATAAAGTAATGGAAATCTGTGTGAAAGTCAAGTAAAAAATCGTCTCTGTGCTTATAGGGTATTAAACTATAGCCTGACAAGGTCGCACGAGTCTGACAGAACGATGTAGTTTTTCACTTCCCAAACGATTTTTTCCCGG